TTTTGGTTTTTTTTATAGAATTATTACTTACCTTTACTGGCAAATAATAGAAGGAAGAAAGACCATGACCAAACTCTTACATAAGCAAATTATTAATGTGAGTTTGACTTCCAGCTTTATCTTTTTCTAAAATTTGGCTTCCTTGTTGGTTGTCTCATCCTGCTATTGTGGAGCTGTAATCTGACTTTCCTACGACAATACAAGGGAGGGTGGGAGCCCTCCCCCATGGGAATTGCAGGGAAACTTAACTCACAAATAGAGCTGCTGCAAAATAATTCTGTCTTCGAGCTGTGCTGCTGCAGCTCCCTCTGTGGACAGATTATTTTAGTAATGATTATTCTGGTCAATGGTTACTCATAGGCCTTGAGCCTCTCAAGAATGATTAGTCCATTCCAGCTAATGATCAAATATGTCTTGACCATAGGAAGGAAAAGATAAAATGTTTTTACTTGAAAAACTACGGGCACTGCAAAGGGCAAAACAAAACCCATCTGCGCCAAGAGGACAAGGCCTGCAGGTCAGTTTGATAGTTCAGATACTACTGTTTCAATTAGTCTTGGTACGGTTCCATGGGGTTCCTCCAGCCTTGCAGATAGGCTGCCATTTTGGGATATGTCTGTGTTTAAAACGCTGCGTAAATTGATTGATTACTAGTTAACTCCAGACAGCAAAAGGATACCGTGGAAGTTCCCTAGCTATTTGTTCCAGACTGGAATTTAGCCTGGGAAGGATACAGAAAAGTCCTTACCCTCACTAGACATTGTTTATGATTATGAAACTGCAAGAAAACATTCCTAATCCAGGTGTGCAGTGATGGTCACTGAGGGGTTCGGCCACACTTGAACCTTGCCTAGACTAAGAAGGAGGCTGCCTTCCTCCCCTGGCTCTGGATTTCCTTAGGGGTTTATGGTTTGTGCCCCCCTGCGCAGTCTTTTCAGCTGAGGTAAAACTGAGTGCTTTGACCTAACCCCATTTTAAATCCCATACGACATCAAGATAGACATCTAACATCTTAAACTTGAATTTATTTTTCAAGTCAGTCCTGCCTGCTGAGCCATCAGACTAGTGTTAAAACGTGCACATACAGGTGCTGTGCAGTGGTTCTGTTTGGGTTGAGTGAAAACTCTTTTGACCTACATACTGGTGAAGAAAAAGGGTTTGTTAGGGTGTCGTCCCCCCCCGACAAATCCCCCTGTATGACTGGCCATCATTAATGCGGTAATATAAATAAATACTGATCATAATTGATATATTGATAAATATAATTACATATGTGTTAATATAAATAAATGTTGACTGTAAAGAGGGGAGCTTAAAGTGAACGGGCATTTTCTGTGTGCTGGGGATTTTCAAACACTAGACAACCCTGTGGCCTTGTCCAGGGTCGCAGCTGGGACTCCTGAGGGCAGGGTTTGATAGCCTGCAAAACGTGGATATTCTTGTAGTTGTTAAGGTCAGATTTCAAAAGGAGACACCAGAATATTCTCATTGTGGATCTAGTAGAAGAGCCATCTCCCTAAAACAAGGTTAATGGCCTTGGGCGTGAGTAGCCCTGACCATAAAGTCATGATTGGAAGCCAGAATATAGTACTGCTAATGCCAAATATTCTGTCTTTCAGAGAAGCTCTTCCTCATACCACCCGTCCAGGCAACCTGCCCAGCAAGTGCCAGCCTACCCTGACAGAAACCAAAACGCATCCCACAAGGAGGTGAGGTGGTCAAAAGGAGGAAGTCTCCGCTAGATTTCCCTATATAGAACCTGGGGCGTGATAGGAACAATGGGCGTATGTTGAACAAAGAGGACATCCTGTATGTATAGAGATAACTTCAAAGATTGACTTGAACAGGTACAAAAATGTAATCAGAATAGCTGTTGGAATAGCCATACTCACGGACCTGCTCAAGATCTGGAGAGTATGGTTTTGTTACAGGTAACTGGTATCTTTTTAAATACAAGAATACAGGCACATGAGGGAAACATCGACCTAAATCTACTTGTGAATTTTGTTTTCAGTATCCCTATTCTGCTGGGATCTTGAGGGGGACTGGCTTCCCGCTAGGTAAGCAACAAATGCTAAACACAGAAAGCAGCTCTTAGAAGCTCAGCTCAGTAAAAACGTTTGCTATAGTAGACGCAGCATATAACAGCTTGATGTAAGAGACACAGAATTTTAGCATCTTGTATAAGGAGAAAACAAAAAGACTGGGTTTTGGGGTAAACATTTTCTATAGGACGTGCTTATCGGTAGCTTGTTGCGATGTTGGTGGTGACTTCTGAAGAGTGATCACAAGCTTCTGTATACCAGAGAGTTTAATTTCTGTGGGTAAATGAGCCATTTTGTCTTACGGAAGCGGCCACAGGAGAGAATATTACATCACATTAGAGATACACTTCACATCCATGGTGTGAACCTCAGAAGAGGTTATCAGTGATGTAGAGTCCCTAGGACATTGTATGTCTGGAATCAAAAAAGCTATGGAAACTTGCGTGGTAGCTTGAACTAATCCTGGTTTACACAAACATGCAACTTAATTCCCAATACTTGACAGATGAGACACTTAAGCACGGAGCTTTTTAACGGGCGCGGTCATTATACCGACACCAGCACAGTTAACATTACTTCCCGTGTGAAAAACAGATTCGGAGACATCCCAGCCCAGCAGCAGGCCAGGCATGTCTGAGGCAGTGGCGCTCGCTCTGCGTGCTCGAGAAGCAGCTCAGTGGGAAGAGGAAGATGACGATGAAGATTTTCGACCAAGGAGCAGGCACAATCACTAATGAATGTTAAGTCATTGACTGATGCTCTGCAGAAAGCAATACTCCTTTGCACTAATGACTGAAAGAACCATTCAAACTTTTTTTTTTTTTACCCCCAAATGGAAGAAAAAACAAAACAACGGATTGCAAAATGCATCCCAATTGCAGTTCGTTGTTACAATAGGGAATATCCTGCGTGTTGGGTTGGGTTGGGTTTGGAAGTAGTGATGTTCCGGTGATCATCAGCCTTCCCCCAGGACTGGCCGTTACCTCGATACGGTAAGGGTCCCTCCGCGGCTGGTCAGTTGTTGTTGACTAAATGTAAGGAAACTTGTGCCTAATTGTAAATAAAAGCTTCAGTCTAAACATATTTTTATATCAGTTATATTGTTCAAACTGTTTTTATCTGATCTAAACCAAAAGTGAAGTATTAGTCAAATAAAAATAGAAGGAAATTAAAGTGCAGTTGTTCTTAATGACCGAGACCTTGTAATGGCTGCAAAGTAACTTGTGTGAACCAGGTTAAGCTTCTATTCCATTTTCACTTTTCTGAGCCATTTTTACAGTTTATGACAGTCACTCAAAACCAGCTTTGATGTCAAAGGTTATCAGAACTCTTTTTTTAAGACTACTTATCAAAATTCTCATCTGTGTAAAACCACTGCTTGTAAACAAAAAATTTACGACATATCTCTTCCCCATAAAGGATAGATTGGAAGTAATGCAGTTGAGGTTTTTTTTAATCATATGTGACTTTGAGACACTTGATGCAGCTTCTTTTTATTCAGAGCCATAACTTTGCCATGATGATAATGGGTTTTTTTAGCCCATTTTCTACTACTGCCTGGTTTATTCTTCCCTTGTTGCTTTGGACATAAAAATGCCTTAGGAAAGAGGCACATCTTTGCCTCCTGCTCATAATTTAGGTTAAAGACAACCCAAAAACAGCTACCACAGGTACAGAAGAAAGGACAAAGTTTACACACAATGCGAGATCAGAGGTTCAGTTTTGTTACGGTTTTCTGCATGTATAGCTGTGGAGTCTGGCTGCCAATATTGAATATGGGCCTAGCATTCACAGGAGGATGGTGACTCAATAGTGCCACCAACTTGAGCAGCAACAAAAGCGGACCTTTGGAGCAACGTTGATTTGCTCTCCCGCTGGCCGCTCGGGGAGCACCTGTAGATCACAGCAGTAAGGGTAGAGGCTACAGCACTCATGAAATGGCGGGGCAGAAGCTGCTTGAGGGTGTAACGTACACATGCTATAGGATGTGCACCAGAAGATGGAGGTCGTTGGTTCTGCAGTACAAGGTGGATGGGTGACATGAACTGAAGGGGCTCTCATAATCCTGACAGGAAAAACCACCCCTTGCTCCTACATTTCTTTGTGCTTAAATATAGTTCAAGTTACAAGCAAAAAATCCATCACCCCCTGCAGAAGGCAGCATTAATCTGCCGCTAGTTCAGAAGTTTAGATGTACCTTAATTGGGACAATTGTGTAGCTCTTTCCACTGATGACTGATTTTTTTTTAATTACCTTTTGCCTCTTTTATAGCAATTTTTTTTTAAATCTCAGTTGGCTCTGTGCATGAGAACTAACTCTAACTATCCAGAATGTTTATATCCAAAGCAACGTACTAAACTGTGCCACCGATCCTTGCACTCTGCTGTTCCACTGCTGGTAAGCGCAGCTTTCCCCTCGGACGTGGTAAGCGATCACCCGGCGTACAGTGCAGCACATCAGCTGAAACAGCAACGCCCAAACAAGGAAACAATGAATTCAACAACACTGAAGTTCAGACTGCACGTATAGCAATGTGTACGTTTGACTAAGGTATCTTGGGAGATTATGCCTGAATAACCTGCAGCAGGTAACCAATCCATCAGTTAAGTGTTCAAATTCCTCATCTCTGTTGAAATTGGTATCACATTCTTCTGAAACGGAATTATTAAACTCAGCAATTCCATGTGTTTCCCATTAAGAAAAGGTGGTCTAATTTATGTTAGGGCTGGCTCCACAGGAGTTTTCTGCTCTTGCTAGTCACTGACAGCCTTCTCTAACAACCAGCTCCTTCCAGAGCAGAGCCAGAATTGTTCATGGCACATTGATGGTAGCTGTGATGAGAACACCTGGGGGTTTTACTGGTTAGAAAAAAGAGCAAGCAACCTGCACTAATTTTGACATTTTACATCCATCTACTGCTGCACAGCTGATAAAGAATAACCGTACCCACGAGCTATCAGATACTTGTTTATTGTAACCGCAGACTCTTTTCATTTCAAGTTAAATCTGGATTACAGTTTCCCACGTATCCTTGTGAGTGCCCTTCAGTCATGCAAACAATAAGCAAAGTAAAAAGACGTTTCAGCTCTACTTGTTCTACCACCACCAGCACTCAATATATAGCTTTCTTTTAAAAATAAATACATTCGTGTGCTGTGTCATTAGAAGACATAATCTTCTATCCTCCCTTGGTTCTTTTAAAAAGTCTGGAAGAGAAGAAGATGCTCAAGTTTTATTCATTAATTCTCATAGTCTTCACATTGAACACGGGAAGTCGGCTTTCTTTGCCTGGTCAAGGTGCAGCACAGCCGTCTTTCCATGCAGTAGGAGGGAAACATACTCACCCTCTGTCTCGGCACCATTATTTTCAGGTTCTGTTTTGGGAATGGTAATGTAGATGTTTTTAAGATGCCTTAAATCAACATCAAATTATTATACAGTCGTAGAACAGACTGTTTAAACTACTAAAATCAAGGTACGATTTTAAATTTTGCCACCAAAAATTGCAGATATGACTTCATAACCAAGATTTAAACAAAGCAGAGAATTATAAAGCAGCCTGCACATACAGCGTATTGCCCAGTTAGCTTGTCAAAACCGATCCTTTTACAGTACAGTGCGATCGCCTCAGCCTACAAATGGCTGTACCTCAGCTTCGTCCAGTGTTGCAACAGAGGCTTTTTCTGCATTTGAGATCCAACCATACAGCAGAAGCGAACTACTGCTCTTCCTTTTCCCAGCACTATCGTTAGCAGTCCTGTCTGCACCAGTGGATACCCTCTCGATGGTGAATTCAGTAATTCACTGCCCGAGTAAGACAGTTTATTTAGGTCGGTGAGTGTCTACAAAGCACAGGTCTAGTAATGAGGATCACAGTCTTCCACCAAGCTGTCGGTGATGTAGCTGGATTCAAGGACGCTTTCGTAGTAGCTTTTTTCTGCAAATGTGTTCACGGTCCAGGCAACCACTTCAATTCCTTTTGAAGACCAGTGCCTCACATACTCTCTGCAAGGAACAAAGACACCGTAAGAGGAAGGCTGACTACCATATTTAAGGCAGACAGTTCTGAGGCTACAACTGAGTTTTAGGCTTACATCAGTATCGCATCAAGAACAACAGCGCGTCATCTTTTGGTGTTTTATTACTGTAAACAGGCAAAAGCAACAGTTTTCTTCCCCTTTGAGATTAAACTTAGGATCTAACATAAAAATACAGAGTGAAAAGAGAGGCTTAAAATAATAAAATAGCATGCGGTAAAGAAACTATCTAAACAACCTTACACAACACTAAATGGAACGTATTGATTAACATATACTATGTTAACTCCACCCTCATATACTAATAGAATTATATTGCCTCCCGATACATTAGCAAGCTTTAACACTTACTGAGAAACAAAATTTTTCTGTATGAGGAAAGCTGAAACCCCACACAATCGCCACAAGAAACTGTGTATGCTCCAATCTAGAATGACATCCATCATCATATACAAATAAAGTTTCCAGGAGGAATTGAAACGGGGTGTCCCATCTCCAAAATGACTCAGATGCCAAGGCCTGTGTGTTAGTGCTGTTACAACATTTGTGTCAGCTTGTCTCATCTGGAAGATCAAGGAGATCATACAAAAAAAAAAAAAGGAGATTCATACAAAAGCAATATAAATTGGGAGAGGTTAGATACGAAGCGCTAGCTTGCATTTGCAGCTCTACCGGAATCCTTCTCCCCCTCCCGCCCAGACCCTTTTGTAACTCTTTTACGAAGCTGTTTATGAGATTTTACTGTTTTTTCTTTAAAACATACTGAATAAGCAACTGTTCTTATGTTAAAAAAATTGCGTAACAGTCAGGCAATGGAATAAAATACATAGTAAATGGACTTGGCAATGAGAATTAGGAAACAGTTTTAAGAATAGTTTACATTTACACCAAAATATGAGGCTTATTTAACAGGGACCTTGCACACAGATACCTGGCCATATGCCAACTGTAAGAGCGACGCACTTTTTTCTACATAGGTTTCAGAATGGAGGGAATTGCTGTAGATTCATATGTGCGTCTAATGAGTGCAGAGTGATCTAATAAGATTATGCAGGAGACTTATGATTTATGCTTTTTTTTTTTTTTAAAGGCCTTGGCAATTTTAACAACCCAAAAGTAATCTGGAACTGGGAGTTGTATATCTTATTTAAATTCCCAGGCAGAACCAAAAAAATCCAGAATAAACTTTTAGGAAACATCACCTTATAAACAACGTCTGGCATGAAAGAACAGACTACGCTGTCGTTATACAAACGCGGAAATTCCAGGTAGAGTTGTTTTAGGGCGTCAACTGCCTGCCAATTAGAGATACACACAGATGTTATCTTTACACATATGCTTATATTTACTTTATACTGCAAAGTTATTTTAGAATAAAGCCCTTCAAAAATACTTTCCTGTTTTGCGTAACAAGATTGAAATGGAAAGGGGGGAGAAGAAAAACAGCATCCTGTTTATACCATTAACACAGAAATGACATTTTGGGGTTTTTTTGCAACAAAAGTCCTTTTCATGATTCTGTTTACAGCAATGAGTAGCATTCTCAGTGCTTGAAATACCCTTAAATATATTGTGGATAAAATTCTGAAGTACTACCTAGGGTTTAGTTCAAGCGGAAAAAATAATTTGTTTCTATATTTTGCTATGCTAAAGAAAAAATTATCCTAATTTGCATAAAATGTTAATGATTGATCACCTGTATCTCCCTTCAGTAATGCAAATTATAGACAAGCAGGATCCTTAGTTTGAGGCTGGAGATGAGACACTAGCTCCCCTCAGCACAGGCAGGGAATTCACTTTGCTTTGTTTCATGATGGTGCTGTGAGCTGAACTCAACACTCACACAATTCTCATGCTAATTTTAAGTTGCAGCTTCCTAGGACAATGGAATAGGACAAGGGAACATGTTGTCTTTGCTTTGACAGCCCAACTTTGGATGACACAAATAGACTCAATCTCACTCATATTAGAGAGGGGACTGTACCACACATATCAGTTCGAGACCAACAAAAAAAGCAGGTTAGAAACCCAAAGAAAGGGTGAAGGAAGGTGTCTCAGTACAGTAAGCGGTACCTGATTTGCATGGCCTTTGACATCGAAGTAGATTATAAGATTGTGATGCATAGACTCCACAACAGCTTCTCTCAGAGTTGGTACCTTTTCACCTTGGAATTTGCTCCTGTAGAAACAGAGAACTCCTCACTGGAATGCAGTCAAGATACATGCATGCATACACACGGGCACACACATCCCCAACTACACAGAGCTGTTTCCTAGGCATTCCTAAACATAGTTTGCTGGTACACTAGTATTAGAGGTGGGATCAAGCACCACTAGCAATGGCAGCGGTGGCTCTCTCACCCAGTAAAAGGCTGCACGTGTAGAGGGATATGTGCACATCTCCTTTTCCCCCAGAATCCCACCAGACAATTATATACTTCCAAATTCAAGGTCTAATCCAATGCTCACTGACCCCGTGTCCCACACCGAAACACTAACCACAGTTCTTCACCTCCTTCCTCAACTACCACAAACATGCATCCAGTCCCAACTGCTGACCACCTATCCACCCACTTCATCCTGCTTTGACTGCGCTCCCTAACCCTGAGCCAGAAACGCAGATCCTGGCAGAATAAGCAAGACAAGCTGAGGATGCAGGAGAAGCAGCTTCACACACCAATAAATTGTTCCTGATAAGGCGACAGTGAACAAGAGCTGACCAGCGGTAACTGCCTATGTGGAAGTTCTCACTGTGTGGTTGAGGTGATCACCTTTCCAGTAACAGATGGGGAAGACGCTACTTGTACCACAGGCTCACTGGTGGTACATTTACAAGAGTCTGGAAATCCCTAATGCGGTGTCTCAGGAGCACACACTAAAAGTTCTTCCTCTAAAATGGATTCACTTATGATACCGTAGAAGTTGCATTGTCATCAAAATTGGATACCACTGGAAAGGACCTAATCAGCCACTGGGGTCACAGCTCCTACCTGAGACTACCCAGGAAATCTGTCTAGCTCCTTTTCAACAGTATAATCCTGATGTTTGGAATCCCCAACGTGCAATCAGTCAAGAAATATACATGAATAAAATGAGTTTTAGAAGTAATTACTCAAGCCAATTTTGACGTATAGTGAAACTCCCAGTATCTTTAGTGTCCTGCTGTCAATTTAGGGGAAGCTTATGTAGAGATTAACCTGTTTCACATTAGACGCCTATGGATTTTGTCCTTGAAAGCCAGTCATCTTGACTCTGCTTCACTGTTCCTATTGCAAGGATGGGTAAGGAGATACGGTCTCATACATTTCTAAAATCCAATGAGAAGTAACATATAGGACTAAGTTTTAAATTTACAAAAGTTTTCATCAGTGACAGATCAAATTATTAATTTTGTTTATCAAGAATGTTTTTTTCACTGTTGAAACAGTAGTTTCAGAATAGCAATAGTTCATTTACCATAGCCTATGTTTTACAGATGGATTAAGCCTCCTAACTTCATCAAAAGTCAAGTCACACAATCTTCCAGACCCATCAGTTGTCCTTTCTACTGTTTCATCATGCATTAGAATGGGAACACCGTCTGCAGTAAATTCAAGATCCAGCTCAACACCCGTTGCTCCATTCTCAGCTGCCTTAAAAAAAAAAAAAAAAAAGTCACATACACAACAGAAGAGACAGCTTTATAGATTTAATATAGGTACAGCTATAATTAGTTTGTATTCTGGTAAAAAATCATAAACTATTAGTGTTCTTTTCAGTAAGCTTGATCTGCAGAACAAAGTAGGTTTTATCCAAGTTATCGTAAGAACCATTCATAGAGCAACTGAAAGCGTATAATCTATTTTACAGATAAAACCATAGTGATAATGTCTCGGTCTTGGGATTGGGACTGTTTCAGGATAAAAATGCAGAAAAGAATCCTGCTCTCTCCTTCTGGTTCAATAACTCCTGAGTCCTCAAGTTATGTTACTTTCTAAAAGAAAAGGGAAACAAATGCCTATGGTTTAGATAATTTATAGATTAACATTTAGAAGCCAGAATTAGAGCAGGCCATCAGAGCATAAAGTCTTTGCTTGCACAAGAAAAAGCTTTACGGAACACAGGTGCAATATTTCCTTTAAGAGTCAGATTCACCATTCATGTGCAGTACGGTTGATCCACCACATGCAGTAGATACAAAACTTCCCAGAAGCACCACTTACCATCCTTTTACTGAATAGTAGACGTATGTAGGCAAATCACTGTTCCTATCAGAGGAATCCCCATATCAGAGAGCAATAAGCAGCTGGGCTGCCTTAGAACATTTCATACGTCCTGCTCCTGCCCTGGCTCTTTCCCAGGAACTCCTCAGAAAAGCACCTGAGTGAACTGCATACAAGATGAATTGTTCTGAAGGCCAAATGCTCTCCTGGGAAAATGGCCAATGCACTAGAAAGACAAACACCAGGTATGCACTAGAGGTTTCTGCCAAGTAAGGATCTCTATTGTGCAGCTTCAGAATTTATCAGAAGAGCCCTACCTCACCCAAAGGTAAGAAACCATCAGAGCAGCAACTTATCATCACAGATACACTACATTTGAGAGACTACTAATCACGATTTCAGATGATTCTCAGAAACAGATTTTGAACCCTGGCTGCACCACGATGCCTCGCAGATGAGGCAGCAGTAAGTTTCATGGCAGGGCTGTACACAGTGAAGTTCTCACAATATCAGATTTTTCTATAACTGGATTCTCATTACAGATCTTCAAGGCTTAAAAAGCAAACATCCTGTTACTAAGTTGCTGTGCGCTCTCTATAGTCTGTTGCAACGTCAGCAAAATACAGTATTTCATTGTTGCTACACTGCTAAAATACCCATCAGCACCAAGAATATAACAAAGTTCCCACAAGACTCAGATCTGATCAAACTGTTCTGAATCCGCCTGGGGATGAAGGACTGACAAGCCATACAGCTTGCTGCAGCAAGTCGGAAGAAGCTGGACTTATTCGGGGTGATGAGGGCTTGGTGCTTGCTGAAAAGGCAGATTATCAAACATAACCCAAGGCTTGTACTACTGCCCGCCGATTTCAGTCTCTCACCCACCAGACCGATGGGGGGCCGGGCTCCCCGAGGCTCGCTCTTTCTCTACAGAGCATTCGGCAGCTTTGCCTCACACTTCTAACCTCGTCCCAGGCCCTGCACGTCCCTTATCGGCCGGGCACGTTAAACGCGCTTCCAGCGCCCCCCGCGGCACGGCCGCCTCGCCGGGCCGGGCCGGGGGAGGAGGGGCTCGGGGAGCGGCGGCGGGCACACTACAGCGAGGCTCCGCCGTGCTGACCTGTCGGA